GTGGATAGTCAGAGGCAGATTTAACAGGACTATGGAGAGTCCAAAGTAGAAGAGAGTAAAGTGGGCACAAGTATATGGTCCCTGGTAAAGAGCAGTTCTGTAGGTCCATGGGGACTCAAGTCATATGGAGGGATGGCTGAAGTAGATAGGGAGGAAGAACCAGGGGGAGACTGTGTTTGCACCACAGGGGCTTATCATTTTTTATTGTTACAAGAAGAAACACTAAAGCAAATCAAGGATTAGTAGATTCACAAAACTTGACTTTCTTTTTATTTACCTAAAAATATAAGTACATTTTTAATTAAAATATAACTACTACACTACTTTCTTCCTTCCCTTTAGTCTCTTTTTTGGTTTCTTGAAAGTTTACTTTTCATAGATAATATTCTGTAAAGTGAAGTATGTCTTACAATTCACAAGTTTTCATCTTATTTGTTTTCTCCCTGGCTAGAACTATCTTATAAATATAGATGAACTAAACTGCTTTCAGCTTGCAGACTTGCCTCTCAACATTTCTAAAGTTATTGTGGTCCCCAGTCACTGTGAATTGAATCAAAGTCATGGACCTCATTTGTGCACCTATGGCTTAATGGAACAGGTTGGCTGTTATCATGTGGTTACTGTGTTTTATTACTTAACTCCATTTTCAGTTGACACCTAGAATGTCTATTTGGCCACTGATATCCTGTGACTAGTAGTGCCTTGGTAACCATTTTTGAATTTTACTCTTTCAAACTCATTGGAGCTTCCAGTTCCTCACATCTGTTCTGTTCACATGCTTAGTATATGACTCATTAGTCATAGAATGGTGTTCCAACTTACAGTTGTGTTTAATTGTCTATAATCATTAAATGCCAGAGATAAAGCATTAATATGCTTACTTGATTTCATAGTCCCCTCCTCCCTCCCTCCCTCCCCCTCACTCTCTCTCTCTCTCTCTCTCTCTCTCTTCTCTCTCTCTCTCTTCTCTCTCTCTCTCAAACCAATAATGGGTTGGAGTGCAGCTTGCTGCATAACCTGGAGGACCTTAGTTCAGATCTCCAGCTCCCACATAAAAGCCAGCCATGGGCACACATGTCTGTAACCCCAGGACTTAGGAGATGGAGACAGAAGGCTCCTTGGAGCTCATTAGACCACCAGCCTAGATGCATCTATGAGCGTCAGGCTCAATGAGAGACCCTATTTCAACAAATAATGTGGAAAGGAATAGAGGAAGACACTTAATGTTACCCTCTGGGCTCCAAATACATGTATACACACATATATTTGTATATACATGTACATATATCATACACATAAAAGAAAAATGGCATTAATTTTTCCCTTTTTCCTCCTTTTTTGATTTTTTTCCTTATGTACATTAACTGGTTAATTATGAAGGAAATGTTTGAGGGACACAGATCTGGGGGATGCCAGCCTACAATCCCATAGCCAGAGAGTCTGGGAAACAGAAACTTCATTCAGTGGCTGATGGAAGAAGAGGCAGACTCCCTCAGTTAAGTACTGAGCTGAACTCAAGAAAGCCAGTAACAGAGAGGGAGGACTGATGACCAAAGGTATTAAGACTGGGCTGGTTTAACCCCCAGAAACAGCTGACCTGACAAAGGTTAACTCTTGAATCCTAGGCATCAGCCTGGGAATCCAGCATGGGACTGATCAAGACCCCTTGAATGTGGGTGTCAGTGAGGAGGCCTAGGTAATTTATTGAGCCTTGGACAACAGATCAGTACTCATCCCGAGTATACACATGGACTTTGGACTCCCATCCAACAATGTGAGGTGCACTCTCACCCTGAACTCTTGGGGGAGGGTCTAGGCCCTGCCCTGTATGAAATGACAGACTATGGACACCCACATGGAGGGCCTCACCCTTCCTGGGGAAATGAGGGGATAATGGGGGAGGTTGAGGGGAGGTCACGGGAGGAGGGGAGGGAAAGGGAGAGGGACCTGGAACTGACTTGTGAAGCAACCTTGTTTCTTATCTAAATTTAAACTGAAAAATAAATTTAAAAAAAGAAGGAAATGTTTGATTCTACTATTATCTTTCCTCTCATAGTGTGGAATCAACTTATCCAACTCACCTAATTTCACTCTTCATTATAAACTAAAACAAGAAGATCAATCAGGAAGACAGAAGAACTCATCACACTTCTTTTCAGGTGTTTGCATTCATTAGAACGGATTGTTTCTTGTAGAGACAAAAACACACATTTTAGGATTACTTTGTGGGAGCGTTGGAGATAGTACAGCCATCCCTTTCCAGAGAGTATATTTCAGATCATACCTATTTGTTAGTGGTCAGTCCTGAATGATTAAGGGATAGTTAGAAAATAGAACAATGCTTTTGGTAAAGATGCTTTCTTTTTAAGCCTAGTAAAAGGACAGTGCCACTTTAAGAGGCCAATCCACCCACAGAAACTAGCAGTGCTTGCAGTGAATGATGTGAATTTTGCTTTGGGTATTTGCATTGCAAGGGGGTTATCAAATTCCCAACATATCCACTAGTTGTGTAAAGTACAATAGTATGATGGAGTGTGTTGAGAACTAGCAAAGTAGTGTCTTTAACTAGAAGTTGGTAAAGGAAGCCAATCTTTTACACAGCAGATGAGCTCTGTGACTGGGAACCAGGCCCTAGCAGTTTCCTGAAGCAAGAGATTCCAGTGTGCATCAGTGAGAGATGCAGAGGCATAGTGGGTGGAAATTGATCGGCTCCCTCAAGGAATGCAATGGTTTTGCAATAATTCCTGAAAAATCCCCACAGACTCTCATGTGAGTGACACCATTTGGATGTCTGTCACAGCATTGACAATTGAGGAGGAGAAACAGCTAAACCAGTGATGTCAGAGGTGTTATTTCCCTTTTTCTTCTTTGGTTCTAATCCAAAGAGGAGGAGGTGACACCCAGGAAAGGAGAGCAGAGGAGATGAAGAGGAGGTGCTGATTCTGTTGTCCTCCAGTTGCTGGGCAACCCCAACTGAAAAGCAGAGAATTGAGCTCCATCAAAGAGTTAAGTCCATTTCATTTTACTGGCCTGACTAATGCAATACCTGAACCTAACTGTAATGCTCTGAGTTCTGCCTGAAATGTCATTAAAGGGCTGGCAAGGGATACTTGATGTAATTCGTTTAGGATCCAAGAACACAGAGAAACAAAAACCCTTCCTCTGTGTGGACACTGCTGAGTCAGATTGCTCAGTACCACAGGACTGGCATTCCCTGTTCCTGGTCAACTCTGTTTTTGTCTTCTACTGTGATCTGCATTTGGATTCCAGGCTAGACAATTAAACATGCTGTTCCCTCTGTTGGGAAGGCTATTTCCTGTATGTGAAAAAGACTGTCTTCTCTCTTTCCTCAGGATATGTATCAAATGCTACTCCCTCAGAGAGCTTTTTCCTTCTTCATGGACACTTCCTTCCTTATGCACTTTATCCCATTTCCACACTCATGTATCCATTCTATTTGTCTCTTTCTGAAAACAGAGTTTCTGTTCCACCTTGTCCTGTAGCCGTTTGGTCCCAAATAAACACATAGAAGCTTGTATTAACTATAAACTGTTGGGTTGATGGCTCAGGCTTCTTATTGGCTAGCTCTCTCTTAATTACTAACCAGTTTCTATTAATCTAAGTATTTCCATGTGGTTTTGGCTTACCGAAGAATGCCTAGAATCCTATTCCTGGCAGCTACATGGCGTCTCCCTGGTGACTGTCTCTCTGTATCTTCTCCCCAGAATTTTCCTCCTCTGGTAGCCCTGCCTATACTTCATGCCTTGTTACTGTACAGTCAGCATTTGATTAAACTAATAAGAAAAACATATATTCCCAGCAAACAGAAGGACCTCTATCATCAACTTGTACTACTTATTTTAATGTTGATTTGTTCATTTCTTTATTGTCATTGAAGAAATACCCATGTATCTCAGTACCACTCAATAAACATTAAAGAACAAGCAAAACAATTGAGATTACTGGTAAACAGAAGAAAAATCTCCATGCTACTTATTCTCTTTCAATTATAAATGTAGATATGACAGAGTTAACTAGTTTTCTACTTGCCTTTAGGAACACACCCTTTAATCAACTCTGTTTTCCTTATGATGAAATAATTTCCTTCAAACAGCAAAATGGAATAACGATTGCATTGACTATGTATTAGGTATTTCAGACATTGCTTATTTACTTACATAAAACTCATTGAGGTCAGTATTGCTTTAGGAGACTCAGAATCAAAAACTGGGTTATCCAGATATAATTTGTTGTGATATTTTGCATTAGTCTATTTGATCCCTAGGTTCATGGTCTCTCCTCTGTCCTGGAAGTACTTTTCATCCTAAAGCTTGCAGGCCACTAATGACGTCATGTATAGCATCACCAGTAATGGTGGAATTAAAGTGCTTCTAACTCAGGCTAAATTTGGTTATAGAATCAAGGGTTCAGAATTAAAAGTCTTGGATTTGTTTAATCTGTATTGTTTGAGCAGAAGCATAAAAAGCCTTGAAGAACATAAATGGTGGGGCCTTTCACTGGCTGTCTGAGATAAAGATTGTCTGTGCATTAATCTGCTGGGAAATGTTCCCAGGAGAGACTGCTAATGGAAGCAGGACAGAAGCCAGGCAAGAGGATATTCTTGGATGGTCTCTGGAAGGGTGTTGCCAGTTCCCCAACAACTGCTGAGTGGGAGGCATACTCCAGAGTGTCTTCATCGGAGGTGGTGACACGAGCTCCCATACTGCCCTTCCAGACAAAGGCAAGGAGAGCTACAGGAAGGTGGATGCAAACTTACAGGAGCTCCTGACTCTTGGCTCCTGAGTCCTAAGTCATGTCAGGATTTCAGTGCATTCTTTGAAAACAATTCCACCTGCAGGCCTCTCAGGGCAATGGTGCACCTAAACCTGAGGAACAAATATGGGGATCATAGAAGATGCACCAATAAATACGGTGACAGACTGCCTAGTTTCTATTCTGTTGACTCTGCCTTAGTGCAAAGGGAAATTAAATAAATTCCTCTTGCAGAATAAAAGTTTGTTTTTGGTTATGAATTGGTTATTTAATTTCTGCTCCAGACATAATTCTTCTCAGCTGGGTAATATGGAATGAAGATGCAGGTGAGAATGTGACTATCAAATTGGCTTTTAGCACAAATAGCATGGGATCCTAGATGAGGCTTTGAACCGAAGAAGAGAAGAATCAAGGAAAGGCAGTTAGTGGTTTACACACACTGGCTGCACTCTGACCCTGACACACTCCTTCTTCCTGAACATCAGGAATTTGTTGCCAGGGGCCAAATGGTATTAAGGCAATCTCTCTTTCCAGCCGCTTCTCCGAACAGAGAGCGTTTGTAGTTCTTTTATCATTCCCAGAGAGACATCATTTCTATTCTATGGTTTTCTGATCCTCCCTACCAGTTCCTCCCTTTGAAATACTGACAGTTTTTTTTTTACCGTCTCATTCTTTAGCTCGGCCCTGTCTCATGTCTGTGTTTTCATATTATCATCGTGCTTATTTCTCGCTTAAACAGGTGACATGCTCAGCACAACAATTTCATTTCTTTTTAACCCTTCCCAGATCTATTACTTTCATTTTCCTTTTGAGTGTAAACTGCTCCCTAATAACCTCGTTCTATTTTCTTTCCATTTTTATTGCAGCTCAAATCGACTTATCAGACAATCAGATAAATTTTAAGTAACTTTGAGTACAGTGGAATCCAATTCATAGTCATTTCCCAGAGTTGAGTTCAATTTATAGATATTTTTCAGAAATGATTCCTCATTTTGAAAAAGGTAAGCAATAACATTTTAACATTTGAGCTGCTTTTCATATACATCTTACAAATTAGCAGTTAAGCAGCATGTGCTAATGTTCTTGTAGTGGTTAATTGTATGTGTCAATTTGTAGCTGACTCTTAGTGTCTAGTTAGTTAGTCAAGTATTCTGGATGTTTCTGTGAAGGTATTTTTACATTTATTTAAAATTGTGTGTATGTGTGTGTGTGTGTGTGTGTGTGTGTGTGTGTGTGTATGTGTGTGCGATGACACATGAATGGAGTCCAGAAGATAACATCTGGTATCTTTCTCTCCTTCAACATGTGGATTACTAGTGTTGAACTCAGATCTTCAGAGCTTGGCAATAGATGCATTTATTCCCTGGGCATCTTGCAAGCCATGGAAGTTCGTTTTTTGTGAGGCCAATACTTAAATTAGTAGACTTTGGAGTAAAGCAGATTGCCCTCCCATAACATGGTTGAGCATCATACAGTCAGCTAAAGGTCACATAAAAGAGAAAGGCTTCCCTCGGTCCCTCTGCCTTTGGACTATGAGTCTTTGCTGTGATGTTGACTGGGACTCTTGCCAACCTACCCTACTAGATTTGGACTTATTAAGCCTATGCAATAGTTTGAGCCAGTTCCATACATACCTATACATGAATAACCCTGTGGTTCTGTTCTTTGGTGGACTCTGGCAATGCACCTAGCCACGTTATCCTATAGTGTTCTTTTATCCACATGAACACACCCCAGTACTCCCGGTAGAGGTCTGAAATCACACATAGTACTTAGCCCCATTTGTGCTATTTTGTTTTCTTACACGACTTGAAGTATTGCTATGTCAGAGTTAATCTGCCCTTTGGTGTTTTATATCACTATTCTCATGTTCTGGGGCAATAACTAATTAAAATAAAATTACTTGTACATAAAAGATGCAGCATCACAATTGTTGATCTAATACAGTGATTTGTAACCTTCCTCATGCTGCAACCCATTAATGCAATTTTTCATGTGGTGGTGACCTCAAGCATAAAATTATTTTCATTGCTACTTCATAAGTGCAATTTTACTGCTGTTATGGATCATAATACAATTTTTTGGTGATAAAGGTTTGCCAATAGAGATATGACCTACAGGCTGAGAACCACTGATCTGATTAACTTAAACAGCTACTGACATACTTGCTGGACAAGGGAATAAGATTTACATCTTATGCCATGGACCTGAAATATTCATATGCAGTACCTAGAGGTATTTGCCAATTCATACTTGCTAAATTAAATCAAATAAATTACAAGGTAGATTCATAGAAATGTATGGAACCTGTTTTCACTTCTTTGAGTTCTGTTTGCTCAGCTGTCTCTTACAGCTCATCCTTCACCTGCTATTGAAGCTTCCTTACTTGGTAAAAATAAAAAGTGTGTTCTTGCCTGTCTTCTTACTTGATAGATGTTTTCATCGCAGCATTTGCCATCCTGTAATGCATTTCATCTATACCCTCTTCCTTGTCACTTGCTCTGCCTACAATATATTATTGTTTTGTTTTTGTTTTTTTAACTGAACAATGTAACTAGTATCTGTCATGTTTGTACATGTAAGGCCAATCTCGGTTTTCTTAACATCAGATCATTAGTATTCCCAGTAAAGGTAAACCCCATAATTATTTAGTTATTATCTTACTGACAGAGTTTTGTTTTCACTTTCTGGCTGTCAAGAAAATAAAAACTTCAGAGAGGTTTCTTTTACTCAGAACCAGGTGTTTTTCTTGTTATTTTCATTTTCCTTTATTCTGTGCAAAAATATTGGGATATTCTAAGACAGGAATGCCACTCTTTGAATATCCCTCATCTGTATTTTACATCTTGTTATTTATATAAAGGTACTATTAACACACACAGTTCTAATTCCTTACAATGTATTTGCCAAACAACAAGGTGACAATGCACCATAGCACAGGACAGAAGGCTCCTGTAAGAATCCACAGCACCAGTATTTGGCGAATGGCTATGCATAGAACTGGTATGGTGGTTAAAGCCAGACAGTCCTTAAGAGGTAACATGTGCTCTGACAAATGGAGATGCAGCTTCTACTAATACAGGGTAAAAATGTGACTTGTTACCAGAGAAACAGGTGTTTTAAGTGGATTCCCAATAGTAGATTTTTCTGGGTCATTTGGTATTGTTTAAATGATCTACTCTCCAAAAAGAAAAAAAAACAACCCCACAAAACATTTGTCATAATTTTTTTCATTTTTTCTGTCTTTCCTGAGTTTCTGGTTTCAGGTGGGAGATTCTTGTTCAAAATCTGTCATGTCACTAGAAAACTCAAGTTGGCTGACACCCATCAGGGATTCGTCACTCATGCACAGGAAGTCTTATTCATACACATGAAATCTGTCATGTCACTAGAAAACTCAAGTTGGCTGACACCCATCAGGGATTCGTCACTCATGCACAGGAAGTCTTATTCATACACATGAAATCTGTCATGTCACTAGAAAACTCAAGTTGGCTGACACCCATCAGGGATTCGTCACTCATGCACAGGAAGTCTTATTCATACACATGAAATCTGTCATGTCACTAGAAAACTCAAGTTGGCTGACACCCATCAGGGATTCGTCACTCATGCACAGGAAGTCTTATTCAGCATGAACTGGAGCTGGTTGGTTGGAGCTGGGCAAACATCTTCTTCTCACTGCATGGTTGTCCTGTATTCCTTATCTCAGAGAAGAGAGACTTTGAACAGCTGGCTTCCCAAGCAGGGAGGTGCAAGGGAAGCTTGTTCTATCTCAGCCTGGATGGACTTTGCACTGTGCATTTTCATTCTGTTGGTTATAAATGGAGATGTAATAAAAGGCAAACGATCTGAAGAGCACAGAAGTCATGGCCTCTTCCAGTATTATAGCCATTTCTTCTCATACTTACTGCCATATTTGTGCTATTGTATTTTCAGTGATAATTTTTTTGTTATTGTGTTTGTTTTTGGAGACAGGTTTTCTCTGTGTAGATTTTGGAACCTGTCCAGGCTGGCCTTGAACTAACAGAGATCCACCTGCCTCTGCTTCACAAGTGTTGGGATTAAAGGCGTGTGCCATTACCACCTGGCCTGCTATTTATTTTTAGTTCATGTGAATTCATTCTGTTTATTCATGCCACAAATATGCCCCGATCACCTACTGTCTGCAGGTACTATTAATGATTAAAGGAGACAAACCACTTGCTTAATGGAGAGAAAGGAAAGAGATTAGCCAACAAAAATGATACAGTGTTGCAGAGAATTGAAGGTTCTGTGTGCAACAGAGAAAGTAAATCTTGCTGAGGAGAGCAGTGCAGAGGAACAGACCTTAGTGCCAGACAGGATGAATTAGGGTCTGCATCAGGAAGATGGAATCTGAATGGAGATTTGTGTTCTAATCACCCCTTTAAAGAAACAAAACTAAACAAACACCAGGAGATCTAGGATGGAACCACACCATGATGCGAACAATGTATCATATGGTCTATTAGGGGCAGCATTTAGAGATGGCATGCTAAGAATATGGACTTTTCAGCAACTAGGGCCTAGAACTAATATAAAAAAAAAAACCCCAGAGATTCAGAAAAAAAAAGGAAGTTGCAAATTTTTAGTAGGGTAATTGTGTTTAGTCTTGTTCTCTTACTTACCTTGGATTTTCTGCTGGCCCTGCAAACAGTTTTTGTTGTTGTTGTTGTTGTTGTTGTAAGGTGGAGGAACCTTCAGGAAGTTTAGTTGTCTATATCCAAGATTTCTGGACTTTCGGAGCTGCAGTGATCCCAGCTGTTTGTCCTGCCTCCATATCCTATGGAAGAGGAAACTAGAGCCTTGAGAAGTTAATAGTATTCAAGGTAATCAGGGTGAGTACTCAGGGTTTCCTTCAATCTTGTTTCCTTTATTCATATGATTAGGAATGGACCTTCATGGGTGATGGTATGGATGTGGGGGGAAATACATGTGCACTTTACTAAGTCCCTTGATTCTCATGGAGTTCAAATGCTGTTCAGGGATGAATTCCAGGTTCAAAGCTTGAGCTGGGGCTGAGTCCATGGCGCCCAGTTACTTACCAGGAATTTTGTTGTTTTGGCTGTAGACAAACCTGTGTGATTACCAGAGGCAGCTGCAGGCCAGATGGAACTAGCAAGACTGCCTTCACTCTGGTTTCCAGAAACTTCTGTGCCGAGAACGAAAGCATATGCTTAGCTACACTCTTGCCTGCATCCAAGCAAGAGCAGTCCTAGCATTCATTTCTTTAGCTGATCTATACACTCTCTTTCACCTATTCAAGCTTCATGTGGGTTTACAGTCCCACTTTCAGTTTCCATGCAGCTTTCTTACTGTAGCCTACCCTGGACACGTAGCCCTCAGATCTATCTCACTTGTTATATTGTACTAAATGAGATCTGAAATATCTATTCTCTCTGAATTACTGTTTGATCTGTGTCAGCGTCTACACATTACAGTTATCTGGAGAGATTACAGGAATCCAAATCAATTAAATTCAAACATGGTATCTGCTCATCTTTATAATTTAAAAAACCTCCCTAGTGGTTTTAGTATGTAGTCAATTTGCCAAACTTGCTCTGCATATACAGTCTGCTTTGTAAGTGGCAAGGGATGGGGATCAACTCCTTTTTATGGTCCTTACTTCATCAGGGTGATGACTGTGAATTAGGCACTTTGTAACCATATCTCTTTAGCAGTTGGAAAATGTAGTGATGAAGACATTAAGTTTTGGATTAAAATTAGTTTAGATCCTGGCAGCACTACTTGGTTTTATGACCTTGGGCAAGTTTGGTGGTTAATCTCAATTGTCAGTTTGATAATTTTTTAGAATCATCAGAGAGATGGGGCCTTGGGAATGTCTAGGATGGGTTACCTTGATTAGCCTAACTGAGGTGGGAAGAGTCACACACTCTGGATGGGATCCTGGAGTGTAGCAGTGGAGAGAGGGAGCTGAAGAGACCTTCATCCCTTTCTGCTTCCTGATGTGGCAGCAACATGACCAGTGGCTTCAAGTTCTTGTTCCCTTGACTTCCCAATTATGATTGGCTGTTCCTTTGGCCTGTGAGACAAAAGAAACCCTCTGTTTATGAAGTTGTTTTTGTCAAATTATTTTATTGTATCAATTAGAAATGTAACTAAAAGAGGCACCAGCACTGGGATCATTCTGTGATAATCAGAACCATGTGAGTTTTGAGTCTTTAGAGCTGTTTTGTGGCTAGAATGTAGAAGAGTGGTATTCTGCATGAGAAGCACTCTAGCCTGTTGGAAGAATTTAATACTGGTTGGAGGTTGGAAGAATGCTGGGATAAACATGGACAGTGGAGGCCTAGCTCATGATGTTTTAGAGGGGAACAAGCAATCTATTAGGAATCAGGCTAAGAGTCATTCATATGATATTTTGGCCAAAATCTGGTTTTAACCTGCCCATGGCCTAAAAACTTGAGTGAAGATGGAGTTGGGACAAGCCAAAAATAATCATTCCTTACTATCATTTATGTTGTCATACTATTTTAATGTAGCAACTGCACAAGTAACTAAAACAGAAAAAAATGAGTACCAGGACTGGTCATGTTGATTAGCGGGAGGAATGTGGGCTAGGAACACCTTCAAGACCCATAAGCAGAGTCGTTCTGCTTGAGAACTTGGAAAACAAGAATGCTGAGAGAAATGCAGACAGTAGGGGCCTGGTTCATGAGTTTTCAGGGGGAAGCAAGTACTCTATCAGGAATTGGACTATCAGGGGTCAATTGTGTGATGTTTTGGAAAGAATTTGATTGCATTCTACTGTATTTTAAGAATTTGAAACCCATTCCCTATACTGGGTTACCTTGCTCAGCCTTGATACAGGGGCACGGGCTTGGTCCTGCGTCAGCTGAAGAGTGGATGGGGATGGGAACGGAGGTTAGGGTGGGTAGGAGAAGGGAAGGGAGGGGGAACTGGGGTTGGTATGTAAAATGAAATGTATTTTTAAAATAAAAAATAATTTAAATGTGTCTTAAAGAACAACAGCAACAATAACAAAAAAAGAATTTGAGTGCAGGGGAGTTTAAAGATAATGAACTAAATTTTTGAAGACCTGCCCACTGTGGGTGGTATCACACCCTCTCTTGGGCTGAATACAAGGAAGACAGTAAGCTAGGCACAGGTGCTCAACATTTTGCTTCTTGACTGTAGATGCAATTTGTTCAGTTCCCTCAAGCTTTGCAGCCACCACTTTCCACCATCACAGAGTGTAACTTGGTACTCAGAACCAAGGGAAACATTTTCACCCTTAGATTAATTTTGTCAGAGTATTTTATCACAATAACAGGGAATGTAGCCTAGGCTGAAGGTTATCTGAATTTTTATGTTTCATTTTATCTAACTATAAGGATAAGTATGTTGTTTACCTCATAAGAAACGTTTTTGTTTTTGTTTTGTTTTGTTTTGTTTTGTTTTTGAGACAGGGATTCTCTGTATAGCTTTGTTGCCAGGCCTACCTTGAACTCACAGAGATCCTCCCACTTCTGCCTCCCAAGTGATGGCATTAAAAGCATGTGCTACCACCACCTGGTCCAACCACATAAGAATCTTTGGAAGGTGAATTTAAAAAAATGTTAATTATATTCACATTGTTGTACAGCAGCTCTCAAGAACGTTTTATCTTTGCATGTCCAAAACTCTATACCCATTGCATAGCAACCTCTTGTTTTCTTCTTTAGGCAATGACCAATCTATTTTAAATACCTTATCTGCATTTGTCCCTTTGTGGTTGCCTTATTCCATAGAATAGTGTCTCTAAGGTTTATACATGTTATAGCATGTGTCATAAACCTCCAATAAGCTTCCTATCTCTTTCAGTCTTTTTTGAGGAACAACCATACATGACACATGTGCACGTGCGTACATACACATACACACATATACAAATGTATAATACACACACATATGTACCACATGTACACACACATAATTTCTTACACTTTCTTCACTCTTTATCCCCCTTTTCCAGTTTTTCTTACTTGGGGTCCTCTTAGAAGATGACAGTAAATCCATCTCCTCTGTACTATCAAGTTTTCTCTTAAAGTCCCATACTGGAATATTCAGAACAGTAATTCCTTTTCTTTAGGTGCAAAATCTGTGCACAAAATTCTTTCTTTTATTTTTGAGTCTTGCTTGATCATGTGTTATTTTCCTACATGAGTATTTATTAAAATCAAACTGAATTCATTGTCAGAAAGCTTATATCCTTCTATTTATTTATGACTGACTTCTGGAAAGCTATTTATTTAATTTCTGTAGAGTTGTATACATTTCCATGTATTTTTGTACAGCTTATATATGTGTGCTCATATTTCTTCCAGTCTTCACCTATTTCACATAGGGATGTAGTTTTATCATAACCCAGTTTTCTGCTAATTTCTGGGGATGTATTTTATTGTGAATGTTAATTCTTCATTTCTTCTCTCTCTCTCTCTCTCTCTCTCTCTCTCTCTCTCTCTAACATTTTTGCTCTATCATTTCTGTGTAGTAGTACATGATATCTTGAGCTCTGAGGTGGCATCCAACTCTCTGATATTTAGCATACCCTTGCAGCTAGAGTGTCTTGAAGTCAGATCAGATGGGCATTGGTAGCCTCTGGTAAAGTTAGAACATTGTACACATGCTGTATTGCTGCTTCTCCTATCCAGAGAGGAGCTCCCCAGGTTCACTGGCTCATCTATGCTGTTTCTAGATCCCATGAAACATCCCAAACTCACAGAGCATTATGTCTTTTGTTCTCTGTAATTTTCAGGTACACATTAGCAGCCTAAATTGGACGAGAAATAAACCAGTGCTTTCGTGAGATCCCTAAAAACAGGGACAGCTGACCCAACAACTCTTTCCCTTCCCAGTTAGAAGTCTGAGGTTTGGATTTTTCCCCTTCCTGTCTAGGGAGGAAGTGAGGAGAAATGGTGAACATGTGCCCATTTCTTCCTTTTGGCCTCCTACATGGAACCACGTTGTCAGAGTTTATACCCAGTAAGTCAGACACTAGTTCCCTTAGTAGTTCCTCTGTGATCTAAATGTTAGACCTGTGTCCTACCCTTATCTCACTCCCCAGGAAGACTCTTGTAGTTATGAATTACTTCCTGGGTATCCCCGCTGAGCCCTGTAGAGCCCTTGGTGAATGAGTGTCCCCAGTTTTCCTACCAATAATTAAGGGGTTAGTTTTATATTCATGCAGGGTGTAAGAATCGTTCATCTGGCTTGTGGATTTGTTATGAAGGAATTGTTTAATGTATTATTGAATCAGTGTTTCTATGGATAAAGGAGAGTCTAATTGCAGAGGTGTCCAGGATATAGCCTGTAAAGAGAAACCTTCCCGCCAGCCTGGTTCCAAAGCCGCGTCAGTCCCAAATAAACACACAGGAGGCTATATTAATTATGAAGCTGTTGGCCTTGCTTGTTTCTTACTTGCTAGCTCTGACTTAAGTATTTATCCCATAATTGTTAATCTAAGTATTTCTCTTACCAGAGAACTTTCCGGGCTTCCTACCCCACGGCGGTTACATCTTGACTTTCTGTGTTTTTCCTGTGCCTACCCAGAGTCCTCCTCGACTCCTAGTCCCACCTATCTTGGTTCCCTATTGGCCAACAGTGCTTTATTGACATATACATAGGACTTCCCCAACAATAGCCCATGGGCCACACATGTCCCAGGGTAACTATCAACACAACCAATCATGTTTGTAGACAGCAACATCATATAGCAAAATCAAAAGGCTGGATCCCACTGGTGGGACTTCTTATACTCCCCATTAATTGATTCCATCCTTCAAGGATGCGTATCGAAGCAGGAAAGACTTTAAAAAGTTCTTCCCCTTTAGTGAGC